TTCAAGCCGTTGTTTACACTGCATCGGTCGAATAAGCTGCCCTTCTTTTGCGCTAATCTGCGGGTTCCCTACAAGTTTTTGAAGAGTGTGAGGTTGTCATGGGGGGATTGGAAGTCCCGTTTCTTTTATCTGAGGGATCCCTCTTTTGACGTCCCCCTAATCTGGAACCCCACGTGTGAGAGTTTCAAAATTACCAAGAATATGGCAAAGATGATCGAAGAATCTAGGTCGTGTGATGTGGAATTTGACCCTAAGCGTTTGATCCCGGATGGTCAGCGCTGCATATCCTTTTATTGTCATCGAAACAATTTTTTTTTGATGTGTTGTTCTTTGGTTTCATTTATCTGTTGTCTCTTGTTTTTTAGATGATTGTATTGACTTTGCGGCTCTTCGAGCTAAGGCGAATGGGACTTCGAAGAAGGCATTAAAGAAGGCTCCTTTGAGTTTGGAAGGTTCTTCGGGTAGCCTGCCTCGAGAGACGGTTCGTGTTGGGACTCCTCCAGTGAGTGAAGACGATCGTACCTATGCTGGTGAAATGTAGGTGCGTGAACATGCGAAAGATCGTGGAAAGGGAAAGAGAGTGGACACCGAGTATGGGGCTGCGCCAAAGCGTCCGCGGGTAGACCCGGAGGTGCCTTATGCATTCCATGGTGGGGCAGGGAAGCAGTTGTTTAACTTTGAGGTGAATCATGAGGAGAAAGAATCCTACTGGGATGTGTCGGACCGTGGTTTGCCAATGATGAGTACCGAGGGCTTCGTTCGGGACTACGATCGTGCTCGGATGTCCGGTAAGGGTTATTCTCACATGCTTGAGTTGGCTGGCGGGGACTTATGCCGGGTGAGTGTTTGTTTTTAAAATAAGATTTTATGTTTATTTCCCTGCATATAGTTTGTAGCTACTTGGAGGTACCTCATGGAGCAAGATGGGAAACTGGAAGCTAGACAAGAAGAGGACCGGGCTCGAAGTCAGGCGCGTGAGGATGAACTTCGAAGCCAGTTGGAGATAGCGCAGTCCGATCTTGCTCAACGAATGGAGGAGCTTGCCCAGAGGATGAAGGAGCTTGAGGTTAGCCGAGGTGAGGCGAAGGCCTATAAGGACGATGTTGAGAAGTTGGACAAGTGTTATGATTAGCTGAAAGCAGTATAAAGCCGAGAAAACGACGGGAAAGAGGTTTCTCGCTACGTCGGGGGGTGCTGCTTATAGGGAGTCCATCGTGGAGGAAACCAAACGTAGCTTCCGAGGTAGTGCTGATTGTCGTGCTATGATTGAGGAACGCGCTTTGGCTGCAGTTTATAAACCCTTAGTTCGTACCTGTCGCAAATACCTTCGCGAGGTGGGTGGCATCAGTGAGCATTCGACGGATGGAGCCCAGTATTTTCGATGAATGAGAGGATGATGCGGATGTCAATGAGACGGGCACTGAGCTTGTGGATGAGACGGTTGCAGATGGTCCTACGACCGGTGCTTCTTCCACTCGAGGTGGGGAAGCATAGAGTTATATGATAGTTTGTTAGGATAGTTAAACCCTTTTTTGAGTGGAACACTTAGTTTGTTTTTATCGTTGATGTAGATGGGTATGTCCACTACTATTTCATTTGAATTTTCTTCCTTGTTTGACATTTGAAGTTTGATATCTTGATTTATTTATTTTAATATTCACAAGAGTTTTATGCTTTGCTTATATGTATTTACATTTAGCATTGTACGCGATGCACTTGAGGGAGGGATCAGTCTCCCAAGGTTTTTGTTAAGGATCGTGCCCTTTGTTCGGACCGCATGGGTCTTAAGTATGTTAGGTTCGTGGCCACGTATTAAAAGTAGGACCCATTAAAACCAATAGAGAGACTCAGATAATCCAGCTGGCCAGGCTATATAGATTATCTTAATTTCTCTAAGTGTTAGTATAGGGTTGTATTGATATGAACTCGTCGTAACGGTTAAATAGTATAGAGATAATAACATCGAGAGTACAGCGAAAACTTGATTTATTCAATGGTGGAAAGTGAGAATTGTCACAAGCCTACATGAGGCGAAGGGAAATAAACTTGCAATCGTTTCTTTGATTTTGGTGTCACTGAAATTAGTAAAAATTTCAGTGTCCCATGTATGAAACGTAACAAAAGAAATCAAAATTGCTATGAAATTTGCAACAAATCGAAGTGAAATTGATTGTCGATTTCAGACCTACCTTTGCATACAGTTTCTGTAGGAGTCTTCGATTTGTCTTTCGGAGTCGCTGAGAATGGTGTCAAAAAGAGAAATTATGGGGTAAATGCACAAAAAATAGGTTAATAGAAGTCGGTGAGAGAGACGGGTGCATAGGAAACTACATGTCTTCTTCTTGCCGTTTTTCACCATTGTTTAACAAACTGTGTTTCTGAACGATTCCCACAAGAATGGTATTCTGGTTTTTTTTTTCTCTTAAGAAATGTAGCAAACTAGGGCAATGTTGGAAATGGGAAAAGATCCGATATATATTGCAGTTTGGTTTTGGGCGATTTTCTTGGCACAAATATAGCAGACCAGTGGAAATGGGGGAGGAATTATATTGAAGAAAATGGTTGAAGATATGCAGTGTTTGGGGAAAACAGGGGGGGGGGGGGGGGTGTCATTGCTATTACAAATTATGGGGATAGTTCAGTAATTAACATTTCTGAGGGGGCTTGACCCATTAAAAATAATGTAAGGTGGTTAGTCCTAATATTTTTCCTAATGCGGGGGTAGGGGTGCAAGTTGGAACGGGTTCCGATCGAAAAGTTCCGATTTTGGAACAACTTTTTTCATTCCGATTTCCGAAATTCCGATTTCCGATTTTTTCCGATTTTTTTGGATTGGAATTGGAATTATATAAAAAAAAAATTGGAATTTCCGATTTCCGATCCGATTATTTCCGAAATTAATTCCGAAAAAATTCCGATTTTTTTCCGAAAAAAAACCGATTTTTTTCCCAAAAAATACATCTTTGAGTAATATTTATATATATATTTATATTTATATATGATATACTTATTTTACATTATTTAATTGTATTTATTCTTTAGGGTAAATTACAAACACCCCCTGAGGTATGGTTAAATTACAAAAACACCCCTCTTGTTTGGATAATTACAACCACCCCTCAACTCCTCAAATTTAGTGGAATCTTCGAGATTATATGGAATATTATCACTTTTGTACCCATTTTATCCCATTCAAACTCTACATTATGAAGCAAGATGATCATAATATGTGATTTTAGCTTGTATATATCAGTTTGTGGTGCATCGGAAACTGTATTTTTACACAAAACGAGTACAAACTAGAGCACATTTCACGGAATCTAGATGATTATGTTGAATTTGGCACCATAAGGGTGGAGGTGTAAGAAAAAATCATAGTTGAGGGTAGATGTAATTATCCAAACAAGAGGGGTTTTTTTTGTAATTTGACCATACCTCAGGGGGTGTTTGTAATTTACCCTATTCTTTATGGGCCATGTCACCTAAAAAATCCCTAGTTTATTTTATGTAAAACCCGTTTATTATTTCTTGTGCAAAGCCAAAGAGTTTATTTAATTTTTGCTAGAAGTTTTAGTTTTATTGGATATTATGATGTGGTTTATTTTTATTTATTTTTTGAATTGAAATTTAGTAGTTATTTTTATCGACGTGAATGTTTTTATTTTTAGCAAATTATGAAATTTTCAGCGAAGTTTCGAAATTTTAATACTTATGTCATTTCCGAAAAATTTCCGAAATTCCGAAATTTCCGGGCCTTTTGGAATTGGAATGAATTTTTAGATTCCGAAAATTTTGGAATTGGAATTAGAATTGATTTTGTACTTCCGAAATTTTTTGGAAATATTCCGAAAAGGCTAATTCCGATTCGATCCTTCCGACTTTCAGCCCTATGCGGGGGTAGCCCTATGCGGGGGTATATCTCATTAATCCTAATATTTATGTTTTATTTAAAAAAAAAATCGATTAGACTGGTTCTAACCGGCAGTTAGCGGTTAAAAAAAGAGGGGAAACAGAACCGGAACGGAACCGATTTTTTCAATTCCGATTCCAGTTCTGATCAAACCGGTTTAGTTCCTCTTAAAAAAACCAATGTTTTGAAAACCGGACCGGACCGGCCGGTCCGACCGGTTCAACCGCGAACCGGTACCAGATCCGGTCCGGTTGAACTTAAAAACCCGAAAGTGTGAAAAAACCGGTTCAGTTGTTTGAGAACCGCGGAAATCCCGGTTGAACCGGATAAACTCGATGAAAACCGGCCCCAAAAACCGGGTTTATGCAACAGAAAGACGAAAAAATTCTGAGAAAAAAATTGAAAATCTTTATATGCTTATATTGAAAGTTGGGTCTTTGAAGAAGGTTCCCCACAAGATTAGTACAAGGTATTGTGAATTGTGGTAGGGGATTAAGAAAGAAGAAAGAGAAAATAAGAAACAAAAGAAGAAAAAAAAAATTAATAATATTTTAGATAGAAGCTGAAGAACCGATTGAGGACATGATGCAGGGGGAGAAAAATAGGGTGGGCGGCGGAAAGTAAGATGAGAAGATGAGGTAGTCTTCATAAATCACATATTAGGGCTTGAGTAAATGGGGGTGTATTTAGTAATTTACATAGAAGTCTTCATCTCTATTAATGCATATCAGAATTATTATTATTAATTTACTCTCTATAAATGTATATGTGGTAAATAAAATAGGATTATTAATTTATTATTTGGTATTTATGATATATTTTATATTTGTGATGAATAGATAATTTTGCGTATATTTTTTGACATTTTTTTATTTTAGAAACTATAAGAATTATATATAAATGATTAAAAATAAAAAGATGAAAAAACCCGGTCGGACCACAGTTGAACCGGTCCAACCACGACCCAGTTGGTGGTACGGTTCAATGTCCGGTCCGGTTTTCAAAACATTGAAAAAAACCCTTAGACCACGGTTCGGTTAAATAGATAATTAGATATAAACATATAAACAAAAAAGAGAGAGAAAAGAAAGGAAAAATAGAGTATTGAATCGATATTTGACAGTTGATATTTGATGAATTTAAATGCCTCTCCCGTTGGTTACTTTTTGGAATGCAAAAAATCAAAATAGGTGTAATGCCATTTGATTCGTAGACCTCCATTGGAGATGACAAGCACGTGACTTTCAACTGCTAACTCTCGACCCCGCCAAATAGGTTTTCATAATTTCAGTTTTCCTGACAAGGTTATTTATATATAATCTACCGAAAATGGAAGAGCAAAATTGGAGACGGTGGTAATCAATCAATTTGACTTTGAGAGAAATGGAAATTGAAGTGCGTAGCTTGACAGGTGAATCAATCCGAGTTTCAATTGAACCAAACAACACAGTTCTAGACCTAAAGCTCATCCTCAACCAATGTTTCCCTCCGGCTTCTTCTTCACCTAATTTCCACATTTTCTTCAAGGCATTTTTCTCAAACCTTCTTTTCTTTTCTGCTTTAAATGTGTTTGACGAAATGCTGATTCCATAGTATTTCTTTGATATTTTTCCTTTTTTGGTGGCAGGGTGTGAAATTGAAGTTGCAGAGCGAGATTAGTAGGTATTCGATTGGGTTTGGGGATTTTTTAGTTGTTGTCCCGTTTGTGAAAAAGGATAGGCATAGAGTTGAAACTCCCTCAGAAGATCCTAACCCTAATCATAAATTCGAGACTGAATTAGCTGAGTCCGCATGGTCTGACTTGATGCAAGACCTCTCGTCTATTCAATATACTTCCAACTGTGCAAAGTTACCCGAGGTTGAACCGAAGTCCACGAATTCTGAAAATGAGAATGCCCGTGATAGGGGGGGAATCTCCACAAAGAATGCATTGGGTAAGGGTAAAGAGAAAGGACCTTCATATGATGTTTTACTAAGCATATTACAGACTTGTGGCGGTAATATGTTTGATGAACAGAGTATAAAAACGTTTATTGTGTTTATGGATTCTTTATGTTGTTTAAGTAGTCCAGCTACAGGGTGTTGTGTTATGAGAGAAGCTAATGCTAATGCTCTACCGGACGGTGAATTATGCGTCTGTCCTCTGTGGTTGAAGGACATAATAAGGGCATTTTCTTTCCTAAACATTTACTCAGCGTGCCTTCAGCTTTGGCAGAAAAATATTACATTCAGTGCATTCAAAGGACCGCTTGACCAACTCCATTTATTTGGCTTTAGGCCCGGGATTGCTGACCTGGAGCTTCTCTCTCAAGTTTGTCCTCAGGTAATTCATTTCATTATATAATTAGAAACTATGCTGCCATCTCATAATCCTCGGGTTTTGTGGTGCATTTGAATCGAAGATGATTACCCATCCTCTTCTCTTATTGTTTGATATTTGATTGTCATAGTTCTAATAAGTTCTTAAAAGAACTATGTCGCGGTATTACTGAATATGAGGTGTGGGTGGTCTGTCTTAATTCTAAATGCTATTTTTGTAAACTACACCTATTTTCCTTGAAGTCGGTTTTTAATAAACCTAGACAATTACAACAACGCCCCCTTAAGTTTCGATACCAGCTAACATTTAACCCCTTCTGGCCGTGGACTTATTGGAAATCCCATTTACCTTAACCAAATACTGGATAGTTACATTCCCATCCCCGAGTTTAGGTCTCATTGCATATATGTATTCACTCATGTTTGGTTAATCTTTCCCAATAATGTCCGATTTCAGCAAAAAATACACCACAAATATCTCATTATTTTTTCCGATATCATGTTAAGAATATATGTGGAGGAGTGTCCGCGGTGCTGACCGTTTAGTAGTTGATTAATTTATCAGTAATTGACAGTGCATCATGCCAAAATCCACTTAGTTTTATCTATATTCTATTTTCTATCAGAATTTCAAATATATGAGCATTTGTTCTTATTCCTCTCAGGTGATACGTATTGTTAGCAATGAAGTAGAGGCAACAAAAGTAAACGGTGCCCTTGTTATTACCAAGTACGGAGAAGAAACAAATCACCAGCATGAAGATCAACGTATCACAAGTATTTTACTTATACATGCTCAATTAATTTGAATTACAAAAGAATTTTTTTTTCTGACAAACTTACTCAATTTATTTTCTACAAATTGATAATATATATCTTGAAAGCTGCAAAACGGTTACCTAGGTCTAAGATTATAAATGCAATGAAGAAAAGAGAAACATCCTTGAAAACTATTCTTTCAGAGGCAGCAAAGTCATTGATGGTACATTAAACTATTCTACTCCCTCGTACCTCTGAGATTTCATTACTTATCCTTTTATGTCCCATTTTTTGCTGATATTGTGCACTTGTTGGAATTATTTCATCTATTTCAATTATTTAGAAATATTCCAACTAATCAACTTTGCTGTTATTTAGTTGAGTTAACGAACGAACACTTTGGTTTTGCACTTGGTTTAGTAACTTTGTTCTTACCAAAATGACATTATTGCTTAATACAACCTATAGCTATTTATCCATTCTCTACTCCTTCATATATGAAGTCCAGCTATTTGTTAAGGTGTGCATCGTTTTTATGTCCTACAAAGAATTCAGGGGGAAAAGCATGGAAGCATTAGCGAATTAGAAAAAGTTCTACCAAGTATTGAATATTACACTTGGCAAGCCCACAAAATACCAAATAGAAAACAACCAATGAATTGTGTGCAGATGCTCTCTATTGTATCTGAAGATATACTTGATATCAAATAATAGAACAAGATATCAAAGATAAATAAGACTAGGTTGTGAACTGTCTATCTTAATGCATCTTCATACGACCTCTCTATATAAAGAAAACAGTCAAAAGTTTAAATAGTAAAAATATAATGAATATAATTCAACTATATTTATTTAACATGGACTTGAAAACTTTGGACAACATAATTATTTGATAGCTCATGGAGTTAGGCATGCAAGTAAATCTGTTCCAATATTGATGGTTTTTAGTGAATAGAGTCGAAAAATACGGTAGAAGAGACAAATCTGGTAAATAGAGTATTTAATAAAACTTGCTAAATAGGTTCCAATGATGGTACGGAAATCTTCACAAAGCTTGGCAAAAACAATCATGTTGAAGAGTTCGGATAAATTATGTAAGTGAACATGTGTTAGATTTAGACCAATTCACAATTTCAGTTTTGAATTAAGTGATGGAAAAGGAACTGAGTAAGGCCTACTAAACTAAGATTTGCTCAATTTGAAAATTGCGGTTCTCCTGCCACAGTGGCATATCTATTTTTCAGTGCTAAATGCTTAAAACTTTTGCAATGCAGTTTAAGGAAGGATCAAAGATGGTCAATTCTTTCTCATTAGAAGATCTTCTGGATTTTGTAAAGAAAGCTGAAACTACAGCAGCCGAAACTAAAGTGAAACGAGAGAGGAGTAAAAACTCTCCTGCTTCAAGTTCTCATTCTTATGAAGCACCGTGTCATGTAAGCCAAATCTTATCGTCCCAGAGTTATTGTCAGTGGTTATTCTTGTAGTATTGCGTCAACAAGATCATGGTGACAATTGAAAGGACAAATCAATAGTCCTGAATTTTAGCTCTTAAAGTGTGAACTGCATGGTACTATATATATTCTTCTAGGATCAATTGTCCCTCAGCTGATATATTGCGAATATTTTCTTCTTTGTCACTCCTATTTTTGCATTGCAACAACAGTAAATGTTTTTGTCCTTATGGTTGTTTAAGGAGTCTTTCCTCTCTATTGCTGGAGGTCATATTCTAACTCATGTATATGCATTCTCTGACACAGTCATCAAATTTGAAAACCTTCGTGTTTTATGATTATTGAAAGAATATAAGAATGCAGAAACGTTTGTTATATAAGCAGTTGCAAAATTCAGATTATAAATAACAGTAAAAAAGTGGTCTGCTCATTCATTCGGGGTCTGACGGTTAAATTTTTGAATATATCTTGATTCTTAACACCGTTGATACTCCTGATTTAGCAGGACACGAAATCATTGCTACCAGAGGAAATGGTCGAGCATCTACGAAGTGGTCTAGGATCTCGGGGACAGGTCTTTGACACCATTTTTTCTCTTACTTATTTTCTTTACTTTTTTTTTTCATGCCTCCTTTGATTTCTTTATCGTACAGAAACTCTCATTTGCAGAACTGTAATGAGTAGTTAATAATTATCTGGCACAGGTGGTTCACATTGAAGAGATAAATGCGAGGAATGCTAAGTATGTCGAGATCCCTTCTCATCTCTCTGAGAATATCAAGTCTGCACTCAACCGTGTGGGCGTTACTAGATTGTATAGCCACCAGGTAAGAATATATTTCACATAGTGGATTTTACAGCACTTCCTATGGATTTCACTTAACTATGAAAGAATGTTCAGGCGGAATCAATTAAAGCCTCCCTTGCTGGTAAACATGTAGTTGTGGCAACCATGACATCTAGCGGGAAATCCCTTTGTTACAATATTCCAGTTTTGGAAGTATTAGCCCAAAATCCATTAGCATGTGCTCTCTATCTTTTCCCTACAAAGGTTTGATATCTCAGATTTGCTATTTCTTTAATGGTTATGTTATTTGGATAAGAGCTCGAGTCATTATTGTCATATGCATTTTGGCATTACTTAAATAGCCCATCTTGGATGTAGGCATTAGCTCAAGATCAGTTGAGAGCTTTGTTGGCTATTACACACGGGCTTGATGATAGCATAAATATTGGGGTATATGACGGGGACACTTCTCAGGAAGATAGACTGTGGTTGCGAGATAATGCCCGACTGGTATTTTAGCTTTTTTTTTTTTTTTGTTTTTTCTTGGAATGGATTCTCTACGATGGACCATCATTTTTTTTATACCTTCACCCAACAATATGCAGTTAATAACGAACCCAGACATGCTACACGTCTCAATTTTACCATTCCACGGACATTTTAGACGAATATTGTCAAATCTGAGGTACTTCTTGCTGCTTGTATATATGTATCATTTTTAGGGTGACTTGATGACTTCTCAAATAACCTCTTGCTTCTATGATGAACAGTTTATTGTGTTATTGCATCACTTGTTCGTATTAAGTGTATAAATTCTTAATTTTTTTGGTTGACAGATTTATCGTGATTGATGAAGCGCATTCTTATAAGGGGGCATTCGGTTGTAATTCTGCTCTAATATTTAGAAGGCTTCGTCGAATCTGTTCTCATTGTATGTTCCCCTTTTTTGTAATTTATGCTTGTCGCCGGTATTTTTCATCCGGCTAATTTCACTAAAATTGAATCTTACTTATAGAACTTCCTTTATATTCAGTGTACAGCAGTGACCCTTCTTTTGTATTCAGCACTGCGACTTCTGCCAACCCCCAGGAGCATGCTATGGTAATTTTTCTCTTCAGAATATATATAAGCATACATCCCCTTCCAGATTTAAGCTTCATATATCTGCATCCGTTTCTCATATCCCTCTCTTCATTGTTCTTTTAAATGGTTTTACAGGAGCTAGCAAATCTACCAGCTGTCGAGTTAATTGATAATGATGGTAGCCCTTCCGGTTTGAAGCTTTTTATGCTCTGGAATCCTCCTTTATGCCTGAAAACTGTAAGACGTTGCTTAGTGGATCTCCAAACTTCAAATGGAATTAAGTAAATTATAGCATTATTTCCATTTTCAAGGTTTGGAAGAGGAAAAAGACGGGCTTGGAGGCTAAACAATATGTTGAAAAAAATGTCATTGCTGGACGCTCAAGGTGATACCTACTTTACCTCTACGATCATGAAATATTATTTATGACCGAACTTTATATTCATGTTTTTGAATCGACCATAACCAAGAGTAATTTTAGAATATGTTGCTATGTTTTATTTATTGTCATTCTTTTTGAGTTGCACCTATTAAAGTTTCTTCGTGGGCTTGGATTGAAGTTATACCTATAAAAAATGCTATTAGAAATCATAATAATTGTCCAAACAGTTTAGAAAATCATCCGAGTAAAAACCTGAATGCAAGATTTTTGCCATTACATGGGCAGAGACAGGACAAAGTTAAGGTAATTGAAGAAGGGAGTCATATTTGGAGCATGTAGTTGCAGCTTTAAATGATGACGCCTGGAAATTGTAAGTGAGTCGATAGAAGATTGTGTAATTGTAGCCATGACTTACATTAGCCCCACGGTCTGTCAAAAAGCCTAAAAGGCCGTCTTAAGGAGTTCGGTTCCCACAGAATGTCGACAGAATGTTTTTCTCAACTTTGAGACTTCTATAGGTGACAGGAATTATCTTTACCTACTACCGAAATGTTAAAAAAAAAAGATCTTTTTATTGGAAATGTTATATATTGGTGACATATTTGAAAGTAAATGTATCAAGTGGAACTTAAGGTGAGAATTAAATAAAGAAGGAATTGTAAAGTTGAAAAGCTTGTTGTGAATGTGGAAAAGAAAGTTTGTTAAGGTAGATTCTGACTATGCATCTCTTAAATTCCTATAGTCGAAGTGCAGTGGACTCTGTTGGAGAGAAGGAAGTATTAAGTCAGTAACAAGTTAGCACCAGAAGTAACATGTGTAATATATTGTAGAAGGAAACCATGTAGATATGTTAGTCATTTGCAAGCATCGGACAATGATTAGAACACATAAGTCAATAAATTCTCAGCATAGTTGTCTGATTGTTATTGGAGCGCATATTTGATATTTTCCAAGTGTTTTATGATTTGATGAAGTCAATTTTGTTTCTTCACTATTTTGTAAGAATATGTTTTGATGTTTATGCAATGTGATACTTATTTTGCAGTCCTATTTTAGAGGCCTCACACCTCTTTGCGGAAATGGTTCAGCATGGGTTACGTTGTATTGCATTTTGTAAAACACGCAAACTTTGTGAACTTGTTCTCTGCTACACGTAAGTATAAAACCTCATATTTTAGATTATCTATGAGTCGATTCTATCAAAAATTTGATGGGCTTAATAATTTTTTAAATTTTTTTTATTTGTAAAAAGGCATGAAATTCTTCAAGAATCAGCTCCTCATCTAGTAGATAAAGTGCATTCTTACCGCGGAGGCTATATTGCTGAGGTCAGTTTCTTCTTCTTGTTCTTCTTCAAGTATTCAAGACTTTATTAACTTCTATTTTATCTCTCACTCTACTGTACATGCATTGGAACACATTGTACATGCTCATGTGGCTAGATCCCTTTTGCTACTCTCTGATTTTTACTTCTCCATGCGACTAGATTTCCCCAAACGTAAGTACAATAGCCTGTTGTAGATCTTGTGTCTGTAATATCGCAAGCCCAATCGACATCAGTAAATATCTAAATCTCTTTGCTAATGTTTCTCTTAATCAACAATCCCTTTCTTGGTGGCATTTTAAGATATTCAAGGATTCTGTTCGTAAGGTCGCATGATATTTTCACGTCATCTTCGTCTGTGTGAAAATGCTATTTTAACATTGATATATATATTAGAAGCTCTTCAGTATAAAATTCCTTTTTTAACCCTATAGCTAATAGAACAGGATAGGAGAAGAATCGAGAGTGATTTATTCAATGGTAATATATGTGGTATTGCTGCCACAAATGCTCTCGAGTTGGGCATTGATGTAGGTCACATTGATGTCACACTCCATCTTGGATTTCCTGGTACCATAGCAAGGTATATTTTTGGTTGTATCAATTCTTAAACAGGTCTTGCATTTTAATTTAATTATTGTTAATTTTTTTTTTACTGGTATCTAGTCTGTGGCAACAAGCTGGAAGGGCAGGAAGACGAGAAAAGTCGTCACTTGCTATATACATTGCATTTGAAGGACCTTTAGATCAGTACTTCATGAAGTTTCCGCATAAACTCTTCAGAGGTCCAATCGAGTGTTGCCATGTTGATCCGAATAATGATCAGGTCTACTACGTCAATATTCGCATTTCATTTTGAATTATGTCATCGGTAAATGTTTGAATTTTATTTCCACTATTATAGGTGCTGCAGCAGCACTTGTCATGTGCTGCTCTTGAACACCCATTGAGTTTGGTTCACGACGAGAAGTACTTTGGTCCTGCCTTAGAGGGCTCCATTACGAGACTTCAAAACAAAGGCTTCCTGACAACTGATCCATCTTGTGATTGTGCTTCTAGGATGTGGACCTACATTGGTCATGAGGTAATTTCGTGATTCTTCTTGTCATTATTCTGATCCCGAATTAGGTCATATATATATCATGCTATATTGATGTACATCTGAAGTATAGATCTTCTGTTAGTATAGCTATTATGTTGTTATTTATTTATTTAATTTATTTATTCTCTTTTTTAAAATTCAAACCCTATTACAAATTGGGGAAGTAGAGGTGGGGCAGGATTTGAACCCTAGACATATACTCTAATATTATTATGTTGTCTCACCATTCTTCTAGACTCTCAGTGAATACATTTTTACAAGTGAGCATGTCAACCTTGAGTTGGAGTTCTGGTTTACTTTGTGAAAGTCTGATTTGCTACTTATATATTTGTTTCAGAAATCTCCATCAGGTGCTGTTCACATTAGGGCCATAGAAACTGTGCGATATAGTGTAGTTGACAAGATAAAGAATGAAGTCCTTGAAGAAATCGAGGAAAGTAAAGCTTTCTTTCAGGTATGTGGTAATTATGAAAACTGTGCGATTTAGTGTTGAACTTGGCGTTCTTTTGTCGACAGTACAGTTTATGAGATCTGTATAAATTTGTTTCGAGTTAGTAAAAAAGTAGTATTCAAACGCAGTGTTCTTTAGATGGTATTAAATTACTCCTTCATGGACATTTAAAAGAAAACTTCCAAATAATATAGGATGATTAAAAAACTAATACAATAGCACACAAAGCTATCTGTGGACAATTAATGAGATTTTACTTATTGCAGGTTTATGAAGGTGCAGTGTATATGAATCAAGGAAAAACTTATCTTGTAAATCATTTGGATTTATCAAGTAAAACTGCTTGGTGCCAACTTGCTGATGTAAACTACTACACAAAAACCCGTGATTACACGGACATCCATGTGATTGGGGGTGATATTGTACGTGATTATTTCAAGTATTTTACTTTTCTCCTTTTTTCCCCGTTTTTCTTCACTCTACAACACTGTTTATCGTGTGGTATTAGTAGTTTTCAACTTGTTATTCAGTTCAATCAATAGAACATAAGACAATTTTAGGTTTTAGGTATTGTGTGCAAGAACATTCTGGATGAGGGGAGGAGCCAGCACTTAAACCATCTTTTAGCATATTCAAGAAATGTTGCTATGTTTCATTTCTAATTGCTAAAGTGGAATAGACTGCTGCTGAAATTACGAAAAGTTAGATAAAAAAAACAAAATTAACCATCTTTCCGGATATATATTAGCAAGTTTCGTTATTGATCTGCATTAGCTGCTTCACGTAAATCCGCATGTTTTAAAACATTCTCTGATTTCGTCTTTTGTTGTTTATCCAACTCTCGATCTTGATCCCGCAAATCACAAATCGGGGATGGCATGAAATACTGAATAAATTACAAGCTAGCTTCACCAGTTCTTCTACTCCTACCACCAACTCCTTCCAATCTGTTGGGAATAAAATTGTATCTATAGTATTTCGAGTCATCATGTGTTGTTGTCAATAGTTTCCGATGATTTAGGAGCAATCCAAAAAATATCTATTGTTCGAAGGGTGACTGAACTATGGAATAAATATAGGCCTATCCAGCTAGGATCACGGATCACCAGTTTACAACAACTGCTCAAACAAATACTTGCAAAGTAACCACTAGTTGGTTTGGTTTCCGCCGTATATGGAGAAAGAGCAACCAGGTTCTTGATACTGTGGAACTCTCACTTCCTGACTACTCCTATGAATCGCAGGTACGTACGTCATCTTAACTAAGCTTAGTTATTCTTACATCTTTCTAAACATGAATTGGTATATGATTAGGCTGTCTGGATTAGAGTTCCACAGTCAGTAAAGATAGCTGTTGAGGCTTTACATTACTCATTTCGCGGGGGCTTACATGCTGCTGGGCACACCCTTCTTAATGTAGTTCCTTTGTGAGTTCTCTTCATTCTAATGTGTGAATAATCACAATTATATTTCTTTTCCCTCTTAAAGTGTCTTTGTTACTTGAATCTCCCAGTTTTGCCGTATTTGCTGTTCAACGCCATCACTAAGGTGGTGTTTGAAAAAGGTTTTGAAAAGTGATTACGAGTTTTTCTGGAAATAAGTTGCTGGAAATTGATTTTTCATAGAATTTGCAAACTCTTAAAAAGCATTTATCATTAACTTTAACTCATTTGTTGGCAGATTTATCATATGCAACCAATCAGATTTAGCTTCAGAGTGCGCAAATCCTCACGATAACCGCTATGTTCCTGAAAGACTTCTGCTTTACGACCCTCATCCCGGCGGTACAGGCATTTCTGCCAAGGTAATAAACTGCGATACATCAATTATTGTTATTTTTATATTTTGTTTGTTCATAGTCCCTTGTTATGATTTTTCGTCTTATTTTGTGGAAGACAATATGAAGAAGGGTAAATATTTTAGGTAATCTAAGGAGCTATGTCTAATGATATCTACTTCTAATAAGTCTCGATCTGTAAATTTAAATGAGACAGCGAAAAGCTGACAACCTCAGGCCATTGTGAAAATTCAGCTGATTCGTATTGGCATGGGTATGGTGGTAGAAATGATGTCAGTTCGATTATTTATGACGGGGTATCACTTGAAATATTCTTTGCCTGCAGATGCCTTATAGTTTTAGTTAATGACGAATTATAATATGGAATATGCAATTTGAATCGGTAACCAATTTATATTTCGTTTCTGCTTTTACTCTGATATGGTCTAATAAGATGGAAGACAACTTGCGTATACATTTTTGCAGGTTCAACCTATTTTTATGGAACTGTTAAGTGCTGCATTAGAACTGCTTTGTTCATGCCACTGCGCAGGAGATGCTGGTTGCCCAAACTGTGTACAAGTTAGTATTTAATTATATTGTTTTTTTCTCTTCTGTCATTTTAGTTAGAGACTTTTATTGGCTTATTATGTTGTCTCCAGAGCGTTGCTTGTCACGAGTATAATGAGGTTCTACACAAGGATGCTGCATTAATGATCATTAAGGTTTGTTCTCACAACACGTACTAGGAATTTAAAGACTTTGTTTCGGTTATCCACTGGTAATAGTGTGCCACTTTTTTTCAACAGGGTGTTATAGATGCTGAGCAATCTAACTTAAACGAGAACGCCGAGTCACCCCCAACTTGAGTCCAGTTTTTCTCGGGTTTTTTTTACGGGCTAGGAAATTTTTGGTTGTAATTTAATGCAATTTTACTACTTGCTCATGTAAAAGGAAAAGTTAGGATATATATATATATATATATATATATATATATATATATATATATAAATACACATACCTCTCAAAGTATGACCCTTGTAACACTTTACCTCCTGAAGTATGATATGTAACATTTGCCTCCTTATGTTCATTTGTCAAACGTGAAAAATGTTAACGACGTTAACAAAAATTAAAAAAGGTATTAGTATCGGTAATTAAAATCCTGAAATACTAAGAAAATAAAATAGAAATATACGTGTTCAGTTTTATGTGTATGTAAGAGAGATTAGTGATTTTATTAATTAGAACATAAAATAGAAATATGCATGCTTGTCCACATGTCCATGTGTAATGATTTACACTAATCCAACACTCAATGTGGATTAGTAAGATCAAAAGACACTCTTCCACTCTCTTCTTTCTCCATCTCACTCCACACTTGGCTTTTCTCACCATCACCACCGAAGCACCACCACCTCCATTGGCCACCACCTCCTCTTCCTCCAAGAAAAAAATACTAAGAACTCAAGATGCAAATCCCCTATATAAGTTTCACTCTTGAGTATGTTAAAAACACCATAAAAAACACTTGCCCTCTTACGGGAGATCAAAATTCCTCCCAACTTGATATCAAAGCCCTCCCATTCTCCATTCAACTTGCTTGATTCGATTGTGGAGCAACCTCTTAAAGGAGGTAACATTTTGTTTAGAAGGTCTTCGTTTTTCCCTTCTTATTCTTCCTCTAAAAAACCCTCTTTTCTTTTGAAGGTTTTTCTTTCGGCCAACACCCCTTTTATTTCGGTATTAGGTAAGAAATCTCGAATTTCTTGCTGCAATTAAAGAGTATGGGAAAGAGTTTTCAAAATTATCTAAAGGATTGCTCCACTTTTCAAAAATTAGGGCTTTTGTGTAAAAACCGAAATATTATGCTAATCTTGCAATTTATGTTCTTGCATGTCTAATCCATGATATAATATGCGAATCTAAGTATGTTGTTGTTAGAGATTTAAATATTTCGTATTTTTGGGAATTTTGGCAAAAGAAAGTGAGTTTTTAAGATTTTTGGGGTTGCATGTGTAGATCTAGGAATCTTAAGGGCTAATCTGCAATTCTCGAATTTTCAGTTTGAAAAATGTTTGAATCTTCAAATTTCAGTAGGTAGCAAGTGGAAGTTTGTTTATTTGACATTTGGCCATAGTTTGGAGTTAGTAATTTGTAGAAAATCACTCGTTGTCTAAAACACTATGTGCTTAGTATTTTAATTTTTAAAAACTCGATCTTTGATGAAACTGCAAAATTATTTTTGAGTCTGAATATTTAGTCAGATAAGAGTCCTAAAATTAAATTTGGAAATTTTTGGATATCATTTACTATTATTTCAAAATATTTGTTGTGCATGTGCCATAAATGGAACTTTTGTGCTTTAATCATTGTGTTTTGAGATTCTTAACATATTAATTATGGGAATATGAATTATTGCTTAAAACTCTGCAACTGATCTATGTTAAGGGGTTGTAGGAATTTTTTGGCAATAATTAATGAATAAAAGTGGGATTAATCCCATCAATGAAGGAATAAAGATGTTAGTACTTTAAGGGCATGGTTTAGTGATTAAATGCTCTTTTTAGTTGTGTTTTGGGCTGCATGAATTGTGTGTGTGTGTGTGTGCGCCGTGTGTATGTGTGTACTGTGATGTGTGATAGTGTGTGTGATTTATATATTTAAGATATGATGCTATAATAATTTTGTGATTTGATATTTATGTGCTATTGCTTGATGTATGTATGTATATATATATATATATATATATATATATATATATATATATATATATATATATATATATATATATATATATATATATATATATATATGTGTGTGTTATGTGTGAGGCTGTGACACCCCTCTCTCGATTACACTTATTATATGTAATCTCAGCGGAAGACTTTTAAAACAAGATTTTTGTGGATATAAATTTACGTAAAAAAATTTTCTTTTTAAAATCAGAGGGAGAGAGGTCACAGCATACTAAACCCTAATCAATCAATTAACACCAATGCATGCTACATGCAAGACTAGAAAATAACTAGGCATGATGGACTTAATACAAATGCGGACAGATTCAAGGTAGAAGCTTTAAAAATTAATTCCTCTTAAACTACTCATGCAAATGACCCCAAATTAACACCATACCATCTAACACGGGTCTAGATCACTCAGTCGAAACAGTTTTGAAAGATTCATGGCCATTTAGGAGAAATAAATAAAATGGCACAGTCACTCAGTTTAAAATCCAGAACAGGGGAGGGGGTTTTGAAAATTCGTAATAAATTCCTCACTGACCCAAAAACTACCAAATTTTACCCTAAGGCATAAAACTAAGTTTAAAACATTTTCTAAGTGGAAGAAAGGCATTTGAGTGAGTAAAACTCCAGTTATACCAGAAAACACCCGAATGGCCTTGTTTCAATGCAGTAGTGAGAAATAAATCATAACTAATTGAATACTTACCCAAATAATGCAAAGGACCTATCAATATGATGAGAACAGAGAGATGCAGACACGTCTAAAATTTCATCATTTTCTAAGCAGAAAACCTATATGAAAATAATTTTAGAACATCGAGACAAAATACGAAGAAGTTACTAGCCGAAAGCATGCATGCATATAAATAGTGAAAATTTGCTTTCGCTTACAAAAGGCTACGGATTACCGATTAATTTTCCAAAATAGGGTAATCCTAATTACTATTACACTTATTGTCTTTTAATAATTCCCACCGATCGGAGGAAGCGAACGGTAGAAAATACCTACAACTGTATCAAAAGTCTTTACAAGCATATTATACAAATAGAACCACATAACTAAGTTAAGAGCCAACACAATCCACAACCCCTCTATACGATCTCCTTCCGATTCTCGAGCTCGATTCCCAACTTCACTCCTCGGGCTCCAAATCGTGTATACCTACAAACATACAACACCTATATGAGCCTTTGAGGATTCAATGAGAATCTTGAAGTATTATCGAATACACATAGCACATAGAGCATACATATATCTATACATATATATATATACATACATATATCTTATACATGAACATACAACATAAAGTAAAACAATCATATACTTCCCTTTTTCGTCGGCGTTCTTCATTCACATAATTGCCACACGCATAGAGTGAGATACTTCCCACTTTTATAACGCTATGATCCCAAGACCATAGAGTGAGAATATCCCACCTTTATAACCCTATGCCATGACACGTATTGAAGATTATAGAAGGAATTTCCCACCTTTATAACCCTACGATCCCACATGGAATACCTACAACGAACGGTAGAAAATACCTACAGCGAACGGTAGAAAATCCATCTCGTGGACTCGTGAGAGTCGGATGTCGATCCTACAGGGAATACTCAAATTATCTAATCCTAAGTACCAAATTCTAACAATTATGATTTTTATCCAGCCTACGCAGAGTTGTTAAATTTAATCAACTAAATAATTAAACTAATTATGAAAGCAAATAAACACGAGAAAATATCAATAAAAACGGACCTAGAATTTTATCTCCCCCTATGCAAGAATTGCTCACCCAAAACCCCTCAATTATGAAATATATGATTCATGATTATTAACGCGAGACCAGTGGCGAGGCCAGAAAGTTTGGTGAGGGGGGGCTTAAACACACGGGGGTTCGGGGGCAGCGCCCCCGAAAAAAAATTTGCTACGAAAGAAATTTGAGATGAAAATTCGATATGAATTTTTTTTCCTTCACTTTCAAAGATAATACCATACCAAAACCGCGAAATCTAAATTGCTATGAAAATTTAAGAAACATGAATATCAAGTCGATTATCAAATTGACATAGAGAAGTTGTCAAATGCTAAAACGATCGTCGGTGGATGGCAATTTAACCGCTATTAGTGTGACTGTGAGAGAGAACAGTTTTTTTTTTTCAAGAAACGTAATGAACTTGAGAAATAGAAGATGAGAGCAAGTCATAGATGAGGTGATGAGGGGTCTTTGAGTAAGTGGTCTAAAAATAAGTGGGCTTAAATAATATAATTAAATAGACTAAAAAATTAAATAGAATATATATGCATATATATATATAAAATATAATTGAATAGACTAAAAGAAAAATAGGATATATATATAGGATTAATTAAATAGACTAAAAAAATAAATAGAATATACATGGGGGGCTTTGAGTAAGTGGACTAAAAATAAGTGGGCTTAAATAATATAATTGAATTGACTAAAAAATTAAATAGAATATATATATATATATATATATATATATATAATAGTAAAAATTTGGGAAGTGAGGGGGGGCTTGAGTCCACCCTAGCCCTTGGGTGGACTCGCCCCTGCGCGAGACACTAATTTACTCATAACTCGCTGTCGCGTGTATTATGAGGCTATTATTCATAAACGGTTCACTATATGTCTATGCAAACAAATTATGAATAAAGCATTAACTAACAAGTCTCGTAAATGGCTACCTAAGGTGATATTTGTATATCTACGACACCACATGCAATTGACACACTCATCCGGTGAAAACTACTCGAAGGTTCTTATACTTACCGTCTAATTATCAAAATAGCTCTGTCGAGTCAATCCCAATAATCACAGATAAAGCACATAAATTGATCAAGTTCATGCACTAACAATCATAACAAGTATAAGAAATAATCATAAAATCATAATTGCATAATCTCACGAAAATGGGTTCACCATCCCACATATAGGGTTCCAACAAAATTCTGGATTAAAAACTTAGCTACTCGTAATTCTTATGATAAACAAAATAGAATAAATAAATAAATAAGAAAAACTATGCTTGTGTTTTCGTTGATCTTCGTTCTTCGAGTTTTTTGGTGTAAAATTTCGTAATTATGGTGTTGAGACTTGTTGCTTTTATAGGCTTTTCTTGATAAGGAAGTAGTAGAAACCTAATAGGAATCAATTTCCGCCACTTTCCCCCATCAGGATTTGTTCGTCGATTTGTGCTATGTTGGAGACCGAATTTTGGAATATTGTGTAAATACGAATTGTAGCCCTTGAAATTAGCTTTTCAATGCCGTCAAAATCACCTAATTTGGAGTTCGTATGAGAGAGATATGCTCGAAATGGTGGACACTGTC